TAATTATCAAGATAAACGTACCCAAGCCACAAAACAATGAACGTGTCATCCACGCGTATGCATTAGACTAATACACACAACCTTTGGCTTGCATAATTACAATCAAGGTAAGCCATACATACACTTCGAATAATTATCACGCTATTATCTGTTGATCACAGGAACACAGGTAACCCGAGCGTGACAGACAAGTGGGTGTTATCAATAGAGCATTCAGTTTACCTAACAGACTTGATCATCAGAGCGGAAAATTATCCTGACTTCGAGATAACGCATTTGATTTTAATGAATGGGTACATAATTTTACTTCGAGATAACCGGGGTATTCGACATTACCGTGTTCGACATAGAGGGGTTTATTTTAATCATTTATAAAGCAAATTTCGTCGGGACCAAGGCCTTACTTCGACATATCCGGGGTATTCGAGATATCCGTGTTCGAGATTTCGAAGTTTAGCTGTACTTCCGTGACAAGTGTTTTGTCATGGAATGAAGTAGATTTCAGTTGTGATGTTTATTTATCACTGTTATGATAACAGTTATCGTCATCATTCCTTTGATTTCGACGCCACTTTTTGTATTGAACAGACTCTAATATGTAAACCAGACCCAAACCGAAATCTGGAAAAATGGAACCGAAACCAAACCGAACAACTTGGACCGCGGTTCTCGATTATTTCAGGTACTCGTGACAGCCCTATACTCCAACTGACCTGTCAAAATTACCCCTACCCATTCATTTTTTCAGTACTTTAAATTTTATTATTATAATTTTTTTGCTTCCCAGGGAAATACAGATTGTCCTTATCATTTTTAAAGTTAAGGTTTATCATTTCTCAAAGAAATTTTTTAGATTGAAAGTTTTTACAGCAATGCCAAATTAATATTAAATATGTGTAGCTTTCCTGTGTATACATTATAATGAAAACATCAATGAATTTTTAAGTCTAATGATTATCAATTTTACTAGATAATTTTAAAAAATACCTTCCTACCTACCCACCTTGAAAAATGTAGGTCTGGGTACATTAGACAGAAAAATGTTTAATGATGGCCTAATAGAAAAGCTTGCATAAATTATTATCTGGGTACAATTGTTCACACTGTATTGTTGAGAAGTAAATGACTTAAGTCATCTGACTCATCTTATATAAATGATTTCCTGACTTTTTAGCTCCACTGGTCAGAGAGCAGAAGAGCTAATATGCAATAATAAGGTGTCTGTCCATCCGTCTGTCTGTCTGTCTGTAAACAATTTTTCAAAATGCTGCTCCTCCTACAGTTTTGGTCCGATTTCAATATAACTTGGCACACAAGTAGACTACTTTAAAGGACTTGTCCCGTATGTTTTTCAATTACTTGAAATTAAAAAAAGTATTAAGTTCCTCATAATAACAGTTTATAAATTTCGTGTTTTACTGCGGAATTACCACAGTAATTAAACATTATTGATTAAAATTAAAACCTCTCAGTTAAAGATCCAAGTTTATTAGATAGCGATCACGTGACCATGAAATGTCATAGGCAACAATGGCTGATCAGCTGTATATGTTAAGATTACTAAACTGTACGCGAAACAAAACTTTTTTTTCTGAGTAATGGACGACCAAATCACTGATTATGTCTGTATGAAGTTGAATATTCAACCCTATACATGTATGTTTTAACTGTGATAAAAAAAAAATCCGAAAATTCTGTAAACATTTAATTTAACCTGTTAAAAGTGATGATAGCGAGGGGGACGAGGCAAAGACGAATAAACTCACCTGCACATTATAATTATATAATTTGGCATCTTATTACACGTATTAACCAACTTTTTTCACAAATTTGCAAGTACAGAACTTTGATACTGTAATTCATTTTATTTAATAAGCTTAATTGAAATCATAATGTAGATAAGCGAGTGAAACATCATTGAAATCAGAAGGTGACCAGGGTAATTTATAATAAAACATGCAGTTTGAAAAGGTTTTCTAATTACCCTTTTCTTTAATCAGCTCTTATCAAAATTACCACGCTCTGCTATAAACCAGCAAGTTTCTTTATGATTTAAAATTTCTTTTTTATTTTCTTATTAACATCATTAGACCATACAAATGTAGACAACCACACTGTAGTCCATTATTCTAGTCATTGCTGTTGCAAAGTTTCAAGTCAAAGTGCTACTTTTCTCTTCCTTTGTTACTAGTACAAACAAGTAGAGCTACAGACTCATCAGAGACTTCTGGTTTTTATTGAATTTCATCCAACATAAAAATTATCAACCTGCTTACATCACATGTAACTCGAAAACGTACAATTTCTGGAGTAATGAAATAGCAATCTAATTAGAATTAGATCCTTTACGCTCCTGTATTTTGTTATGTCACTGTAAGGATCTAACAACTCCCCATTAGAGGTCATCTCTGCATGATTGAACCGACATAACAAAATTTAGGAGCGTAAAGGATCTAATTTAATTAGATTGGAAATAGCCTAAATGTCTTAACTGATTGAAACTGAATACAATAATTTGTTAGATACATTTTTAAACAGAGTTAAAACTGTTTACGACCTAACATTTTCTCTGCTTTTGCATAAATTTTGTTGTTGGTCACATGCAAGTGGAAGGTTTAAAGGAATCAGTTATTTATGGAGATTTGGGCAACATGAATTTGTTGGACCCTCCAACAAAAAAGATATCCCCATGCAACCTTTGGCTTCAGACAACTTTTTGTCTTCAATCCAACGTATCATATGTTGGCCTCTTACCAAGTTAATATCTGTGTGGTACTTAAAAGCTGTTTTTAAATAAAAAAAATGACCTGTTTAAAAGGTTGGAGAAAAGATAGTTCATTAGATAAATCTGGTATTTATGATTGCATATATTTCTATGTTTTCCGTAAAATTATGGTATTATTTAGTCTTGAAATAATATAGTAAATCAAAAAGAATGGAACAAAAAACAATAAATGGAAGCAATCCATTTTTTAGCTCACCTGAGCCGAAGGCTCAAGTGAGCTTTTCTGATCACATTTTGTCTGTAGTCTGTCTGTAAACTTTTCACATTTTCGACTTCTTCTCAAGAACCACTGGGCCAATTTCAACCAAACTTGCCACAAAGTATCCTTGGGTACAGGGGATTCAAGTTTGTTCAAATGAAGGGCCATGCCTTCTTCCAGGGGAGATAATTATGAATTTGTGAAAAATTAATGGCATCTTTAAAAAATCTTCTTCTCAAGAACCACTGTGCTTGAAAATATGAAACTTATGTGGAAGCATCCTCAGGTAGTCTAGATTCAAGTTTGTTCAAATCATGACCCCCAGGGGTCGGGTGGGGCCACAATGGGGGATCAAAGTTTTTCATAGGAATATATAGGAAAAAATCTTTAAAAATCTTCTTCTCAAGAACAGCAAAGCCATGATTGGTCATATTTAAATGGAAGCATCCTCAGGTACTGTAGATTCAAGTTTGTTTAAATCATGACCCCCGGGGTAGGGTGGGGCCACAATGGGCGATCAAATTTTTACATAGGAATGTATAGGAAAAATCTTTAAAAATCTTCTTCTCAAGAACAGCAAAGCCATGATTGGTCATATTTACATGGAAGCATCCTCAGGTACTGTAGATTCAAGTTTGTTTAAATCATGACCCCCAGGGTAGGGTGGGGCCACAATGGGCGATCAAATTTTTACATAGGAATGTATAGGAAAAATCTTTAAAAATCTTCTTCTCAAGAACAGCAAAGCCATGATTGGTCATATTTAAATGGAAGCATCCTCAGGTAATGTAGATTCAAATTTGTTCAATTCATGCCCCCCCCCCCCCCAACCACTTTTATATTTAAACTTTTCAACCTTTCAAAACTGAACTGATTTCTGCTCTTTCCTAGCCACAGTGCTCAGGTGAGCGATGTGGCCCCTGGGCCTCTTGTTTTTATTCTGCTATAAAATTCAGTTCCCAGTGCATGCCAGTTTTATATATGGTTTACGTATATTTGTCAGTAAAACTTTTAATATGTAATATGTACATACAAAGTACATTTTCATATTCCTATACCGGTACTTTGTATGGGGTTCTGGTGTTAGGGTGGGGCTCTATTGATTATATAAAGAAAATGCATTATTTCTTTGAAAACCTTTTTTCTGCTGATGGATTTTGAATAAACTAAGTACATAGTTATGATGAGCAAGAGTAGCTCTTCAGAAATTATGAATTTCATGGCCCCTGGATCAGGGGTTTTCTGGTGTTAGGGAATTTATATACACTTCACTTTTTTTATTACAGGAAATGGAAAAGGAAAATCCCGATGTCAATTTTGTCAAGGTGGATGTTGATGAAAACTCTGTAAGTTTCTGGTTTAATAAATCCATAAAATATAACCAAAGAATTAAGGAATGCAATTAAATATAATCAATGATTTATGTGACAGTTTTGTGTACTATATTATATGTATGCAGTGTTTGAAACTCACCATAAAATTAGCTAGACATGCAGGACTGACTGCTAGTGAAAGTTGTCAGTCACAAAAATCTACTAGCCCAAGATAATAATTGTCTTTTATAACTTTGTTTTAGAGATAACGTGAATTGGGCCAGCTAGATCACCATAACTTCAATTTCGATCCGGATTCTATAGGCTGACGAATTCTACCCCCTTTGCTTCTTACACTTTGCTATCGATACTATTGGTTGATCTGAAAGAAATTTATCAAATATGTGAATTTTAATTTATGGTAAATTTTAACACATCAAGCAGGGCGTCCATTTGTGCAGACCTGTTTGCCCGTCACAAAATTTTTGCATCTCGGGCTGTCAGGTGCATGGTTATTTTAAACACTGCATGTATGAAGCTTTTATTACCTCATCTGGAATTATATTCTTAAAGCAACACCGTGACACACAAACGGGATGACAAACACAGAATTTTTGCATGACCCATGCAAATTTTGTTCATTTCCTGAAAGTATTAGTTTCAGAAAATTACAGGTTTCAGAACCTAAAAAATCTACTTTTATGAAGAAAAAAAATAATTGTTGTATGGCGCAACACAAAAATATTGCTTTACTTCTTGAAGAAGTTACCATGGTCTCAAGTACCAAAAAATGAATGTCAGTAGGCCAAGATTTTTGATACAATCTTCAAAAAAAATTAGAAAATATTTCTCACCTTTGCATGCTCCAATCAAATGTTGTTTACAAGTTTACGCTGAAAATTAAAGTGGCGTGACCTTGACATGCACAATAACAACGGAACAGTAGATACAACCTTTGTTTTCCCGGCACTTATATTGTGCAGTCTTTTTTTGCTTTGCAGTGCAGTTTAGTTGTCATATCTTCGCTATACTCATAATTTTCATAAATCTTTCGCTTCATGATACAGTTATCTTAAAAGAAACAAATGATTTTGATTCATTATGTAACTTTAAGAAACTAACAATGATGAAGGGTGTGTTGTTTGTTTTTCATGTAGGAGACTGCTGAAGCCTGTGGAATCTCTGCAATGCCAACATTTCACTTCTACAAAAATGGGGAGAAGGTTGGTATAAAGTTTAATTGTTAATCCAGATAAAAATGTAGAGTTTATGTCTCCATGCAGGTCTCTTTGTTTCCTTGCCTTGGGAGGAAAAGTTCATTTTTATGAATTACTATAAGGACAAATATTACACTCTCCTGGTTACAAGAAACAAAAAGAGCCTTTTATTATCCATTTCTTATTTGGCCATTTTAATAATAAAAAAAAATGTTTACTTGCCCTCTGCCAACTCAGGATTTAAAAAATTGGATGCATAGGTAGGGTTTTTTTCTTTTAGGCAATCAGGAGAGGACAAACAAACTATTTTTTTTAATATGGCCTTCATGTCTTACATACGTTAAATTGTATTGTTTTCTTTTTTTAGCTGGATGAAGTAGTTGGAGCAGATGAGGGAAAACTCAGGGAATGCGTAGCAAAATTCAAATAGATATTAAAAATCATGTTAGAAAAAAAAATTTAACTTCTTTATAACTAATTGTTGTAATGGCTATTTATCTACTTTTCCTGTAAATTATGTCAGACTGTGATGAATTATCAGAAATCTAGCCACATGAAGGGCATTGTATTTCTATTGTTTAATGTTTACATTTCTTTTGAATTGTATTTTCAGTCTTAAATTGAATAGCACTAAGCAGTATGCAGTAGTCTCATACTAAGAGAATTGTACAGTGTACATTAAAAACAAAGATTCTGTCAAAAATTTGAAAATAGGATAATTAATATATATGCATTGTACATGTATACATGTTTTTATTTTAATTAGGTATTGGGAATCATTAATGTCTATTTTACAGTATTGCACACTGTGGCCTTTTTTTGCACCATTATGCAATAAAATCTTTACATTCAAAGTTCTGTGATATGTTTACTTTGCTATTTGTAGAAATACATGGTTAACTCATCTGAGTTAAAGATTTAAGCTTTGTTTTCTGTCTCTGTCTGCCTGCTTTCTGTTAACTTCTCACTTTGTTAACTTCGTTCACATTTTGGATTCCTCTCAAGCACCACTTATGTGAACCACTCCAACCAAACTTGGCACAAAGCATACTTGATTAAAGATTCCAATATTTTAGCTCTACTGGTCAGAGACCTGAACGTCTGAACAATTTTTCAAAATGCTTCTGCTCCTACAGTTTTGGTCTGTCAGTATAGCTTGCCATACCAAAAGACTACACCAATGTACATAATTCTATTTATCGGTTTTTGATTTTGATGAAAGGTGTTGATATGGTTACTAAAAATAGAAATTTCTTTGAAATTCTTTCGAAATTTCACTCCACCTACAGTTTTGGTCTGATTTCAATATAACATGGCACACAAGTAGACTGAACTAAGATAAATAATTCTGTGTATCGGTTTTTGGTTTTGATGAACTGTGTTTGGTGTGTTACCATGGTAACTAAAAATATAAATTTCTGTAAAATTCTTTCAAAAGCTACTCCTACAGTTTAATAATAATAAATAATTGTAATAAATCTTCCACAAAAAGAGACTAAACCAAAGATCATTATTCTTTTTATTGCTGTTGCATAGGTTAAGTCCAAGTGCTACATGTACTTTTCTCGTCTTATTATACGTACAAACCAGTAGAGCTACAGTCTCGTCAGAGACTTCTAGTTTCTTAATTGAAGTACCATGCTCTATATCAATGGAAGACATTTACTACATAAAGTGAGTAACAAGTGGTCCAATAGCCTAAAGGTCACCTGAGTATGATCAGGGACCTATATATGAAGGAGTTGCCTATCCCGTTAGTATATAGGTCCTTGGTATGATACAACCCTGAAAAGGATTCATGGAATGGCAAATAATTACACCTTTATGAAATGTTCCTATATACATTTTGACTTAAAAAGTCTAACATTTCCCATGTTTTTCTGAGCGGACCAACAAATTCAAAGTTGGACAGCTGAGTGAGATATTGGACTTGTCAATAAGATATTGGACTGCCGTGACGTTTTTTACGTCGCAATGTAGAAGGGATCAGCTATATCTTATTTGCATCATCGGTGTTCATCAGTTACGTGTTTCTTAACCGAGTTAAATCTGCAGTGCAGGTATATGAAATTTACATGAATTATTGAAACATGTGTCCCCTCGCTTTCGCGAAAGCGGGGGACAAAAAAGATAGGACTTTCATAATATACACGTATATTACCTAAGACAAGACCTTTCTAATTATCCTATGACTTTTGACCCTTTGGCCTTGACATTGAAGTTTGAATGGAATTCGGCGCAAGAGATGTTAAAATAAAAAGTTAAAGGTATATTAAGAAAACATTGACTCTGTTCTCTGGCAAAATTCGTTTTGTCAACCCCTCAAACCAAACGAATAGTTTGGTTCTTGGGTCCGACAAAACGCATGTTGCTCTCGAACCCAGTCAATAAATGTATAGTACATGTGTCTTAGCACAATGGCCTCTCTTGCTTTATGAATAATATTTTAAAAATGTACATGTATGTGATATTTTTTGTCTAATTTTTATTCATGTATTACATGTATCTATAAGTCAACCAGACTTGAACTATGAAAGTACTTTTTGTATTATATACTGTGTATAAAAAATTCGTTCGTAATTTTTTTATTCAACTTAACATCAAATACATTATTTACATTGATTAACTATCATAAATGAATAACAAAGGGAAATGACTTTTTTTATAGAAATAATTTTTTTATAGTAAAGTAAATGATTATAATAGATCCCCACCACAACTCCAGACCCTATAAGGGGCTATGAATTTCTCAATTTTGGGGAAAAAACTTTATCTCATCGTAACCATGCAATTAGTTTGCATTCCAAATACTAGTACCCAGGAGCAGAGAAGATTTTCAAAGAATGAGTGCATTTTTACTACATGTATATGATTAACAGAAACCCTCCCTAACACCAGAACCCCCTCACCCAAGGGCCATGAATTTCACAATTTTGAAAGCGTAACTCATCATAACCATGCACTTATTTTGTCTGCTAAATACCCAGGAGAAGAGAAGATATGATCAATGAGCCCCGCCATAACCATGCACTTAGCTTGTCTGCTTAATACCCAGAAGTATAGAAGACGATTTTCAAAGAATTAATACATTTCACTTTATGATCAATACAGCCCCGCCCTAACACCCAAGGCCAATGAATTTCACAATTTTGGTAGAGGGACCAATGTTCATTGATTTATTAGAATCATGCCAACAGTTCGACTGTCCAAGAGTAAAGATTTTAAGATTGCATATTTTTCCGCTCACCTGAGCTGAAAATCTTCTTCTCAAGAACCGCTGGGCCAGAAAAGCTGAAACTTACGTGGAGTCAACCTGGGGTAGTGTAGATTTTAAATTTTTCAAATCATAACCCCTGGGGGTAGGGCGGGGCCATAATAGGGCATCCAAGTTTTACATTGAAATATATAGGAACAATCTTTAAAAAGCTTCTTCTCAAGAACCACTGGGCCAGAAAAACTGAACTTATGTGGAAGCATCCTGGGGTAGTGTAGATTCTAAATCATTCAAATCATGACCCCTTGGAGTAGGGCGGGACCACAATAGGGAATCCAAGTTTTACATTGAATTGAAATATGTTGGAACAATCTTTTTTTAAAAGTCTTCTCAAGAACCACTGGGCCAGAAAAACTGAAACTTATGTGGAAGCATCTTGGGGTTGTGTAGATTCTAAATTATTCAAATCATGACCCCTGGTAGTAGGGCGGGACCACAATAGGGAATCCGAGTTTTACATTGAAATATGTAGGAACAATCTTTAAAAGTCTTCTCAAGAACCACTGGGCCAGAAAAGCTGAAACTTATGTGGAAGCATCCTGGGGTAGTGAAGATTATAAATTGTTCAAATCATGACCCCGGGGGTAGGGTGGGGCCACAATAGGGCATCCAAGTTTTTACATTGAAATATGTAGAAAAAAAAATCTTTAAAAATCTTTTTCTCGAGAACCACTGGGCCAGAAAAGCTGAAACTTACGTGGAAGCACACTCGGGTAGTGTAGATTCTAAATTATTCAAATCATGACCCCTTGGGGTAAGGTGGGGCCACAATAGGTACTACAAGTTGGAAAATCAGGTGAAACACAGCAAGACCAAAGTTACTCAGGTGAGCGTTGTGGCCCATGGGCCTCTTGTTTTATGGTTTTAGTTCCACCCCCACCTCCCAGTCCCCACCCTGGGAACCCTGAAATTCACAAACGGGGTCAGGTTAAAACTTTTTTTCTAGAACCGTTTGACAATAATATAAAAATTCTTCCGAAAGCTTTTTAAAATATACTAGTATACGGATTTATGTTTGTTCAAAACTGGTGGCTAGGTATGAGCAACAATCAGGAATCTCACTTTTGTCAAAATCAAAGGAGAAAATATAACAACTCTTCTATTCAAAAATTGTATATATTTATCATACGTAAAATACATGCAATTTGCAGCATGCAGGTTTCAACTTCTTTCAGTACCAAGTTTTATTCATACAATACTACATTACCCTTATTTAACTATACTGCAACAAAAAAAGGAGGGATTGCAACCGGCCTTTCAGTGAACATTTCCATAGTAAAAAGTTGTGTTTGGAAAAAAAGTGGGGGTGGGGATGAGGGCAGCCCCCCCCCCCTCCCCCGCTACAGTTCTGAATAACGCTACAGATCTACAGCTATCGCTGCGGACGAGGGAGAGGTGCTGCAACTTTAAGTCACTTTAGGTCTAATTCATATGATTAAATAAAGTGGTGAATATTTAAAGGTATGTTACATGTATTTTACAGGAAAAGAAATCATCAAATATGTAATGAATTTAAAATTAACAAAGCAGGGCTTACAAATGCAACCTTAGGACGGATACAGCACTAAACGGATAACCAATAAAAAAAATCCGAGTCAGAATTTTTTTACAAGCAAAAATATTTAAACACACACACACACAAAACACAAATCAAAGACACATGTATACTGAACTACAAGACGTACACATCGTGAAACCCATTTTTTTTAAGGATACTTCTAATAGACAAGACTCTTTCCTTTTTGTACGACTCTTCTTACCAGCTTACGAGGGATACATGATTCCTCATTGGGGGGGGGGCAAATGAACATTTTATATAAATTTAATAACGATGAAAAATCAGGAAGACCCCCCTGCATGCGGGATCCGCTACTGTACATTATTCATATGTCCAAGGCAAGGAGTTGTTCATATCTCTAAATAGCCGTTCTCCACTTAATTGGCTTCTGTTTTGAACCAAAATATGATACATGTATAGGCTACCACCTTCTTAACTTTGGACTTAAATCTAAGACATGTATCTGCCTTAAGATTAAGATAGATCTTAAGATTATCATAAGATATGAGTTCTGTGAAACAGCTGTAGCGCATCTTAAATATTGAGACAGATCTTAGTCATAAGATACTGAGTAGTTTTATGAAACGGACCCTTGGTTTTTTTTCTGTCTTGATACAGGGTTGGAAAAGACACACTACAGTATACTATAAAATTATGTAACAAATATCTGTATAATGATAATAATAATAATAATAATAATAATAATATGTAATATTACGATATTTCCCTATTAAACCAAACTTTTTTTTATTCAACCCTAATTTATACTTTTATATCTATATTGAAAAATGAATTTCACCAAACTCAATATATAAAATGTACTATAATTTTACTATGTAAAACCTAAAAACGGAGAAAAGGTTAAGATCAAACCCCGCTTTTTCCAGATTGTTGGTTTCCTACTCAAACATGTAAAATGGTACGCATGAACCTTTTTACTTGTTAACTTTTTAGGTGTTCATAGAATGGAGAAAACAATTTTAATTGAGAACAGAACAGGAACAGGTAGAATTAATTATACTGAGTAAAGTCACATATGACCACGCCCCTCTTGTCATTTTGCAACATCAGATTAGAAGACAGCGGACCAATGCTAAAAAAGTCGTGAGACTCTCAACTTTGTATTAAACTTTTATACCAGTTTCAGATTACTATTAACCTATTTTGGTTTTGACAATTTGAATGGTTTGTCTTGTATCTCTTTTCAAAAGGACACTTTTTAATGGTTATGGTCACCCATTCTACCGATTTTGTATACATTGTGCTTCCAGATCAGACAAACGGTCACAAAAATTAGAGGGTTCCCCTCGGGGGATTACCAGTGACTGGACAGTCATTAACGAGATTATAACTGACTGAGGCTATTCTTCATTGCTATTTAATATAGCTTCTTTTTTTAAATTTATATTTCCTTCGCTTCCAGAGGTTCAAAGTCAGTTCATTTAGCTAAGCCTAGTCAGCAGAGGAAACTAGTTCTATATACATGTATATAGATTTAAAAAGTTTCTAAAAGATCGAAGATCGACCTTTTTAAACTTATATATTCATTTGTATATTTAAAAAAAATTCAGTTTTATAATTTACATGTAATAATGTTTGTTTGTGTTGATTATTTGTTTCTTCTTTTTTTCATATAGCGGAATTTCATGATATATTGTAGTAATGAATATGATGTATAGTAACTGAAATTAATGAAAAGGGGTTCCAGGGAGGTACCCCTCCCCTCCACACACACACACACAATTAAATATAAATTCACACACACATTCTAATTATTACAAAGTCGCTTTACAGATTTTCCTCCTCTTGCATTGATCAAATCGTCTTCCAAAATAAGAACTGTAAACCATTTGTAATTATTGGTGTATCAATTGATGTCTTTTGTGTTTATTTGATAAATAAAGTGCAAAACAAAATCATTTTCCTTGTACTCGATGTTTATATACATGCATTATAAGCGTGATAAAAATTAGCTTGGGGTTTAACAGGACTGAATTTGCTCAAGAAAATTAACACACTAATCTTGATATTACATTTATACCGAGTACCCGGGTACTCGATCGGAAAATCGTCCGAGTATTCGATTATCAAATATTAACCGATTCGACATCCCTAATATATATATATATATATATATAGAGAGAGAGAGAGAGAGAGAGAGAGAGAGAGAGAGAGAGAGAGAGAGAGAGAGTACTTTAATTCTTCAATTGTACAATACTAAAACAAACAAGGACCTTATATTTGATTGTGTGAATCAGAATGTACAATTTAAAAAAGAAAATTGAAGTTACAAATAAGAATTACTAGACCGTTGGTAAAACTTCTTTATGTTTATTCAAAAGATTGTAGAGAGAAATTACTCAGAGACATAAATAACAGTTATGTGTGTCTCTCGTCCATTCGAGATAATGATTGCGCATTGTCATATCTGTTATGTAATGTACAGCTATTGTTCTCCACAAAGAAGTATTGTCATTGTCATTGATTCAAGAAGTCATTAGTTCAACAAATTGCAAAAAAAAAAAAAAATTAAATAAATAAAAAAAATAAATAAATAAAAAATAAAACATCTAGACTATAAAGGTTTCAATTATGAATAATACCGCGAAGTGGGAACTCTTTCCATACTATTTTCATTTTGAAGTCGGGATCGGCGTTCCATCCAAATCCGAAAGCAAAATTTCCTGTGGAGTCGACTTGGGTTACAAGGGACCGAATTTTTAACATATGATGCTTTTGTAACCAGCAACATTTTGTCTGAAGTGAGTGATATTGTGACAACTTATTGTATGTTCTTATGGGCACGCCTTTCTGGCAAATGTGTACAAATCTTATTCGGAGTTTTCACTTGTACTAAAAATATTGATTTAGTTGCAATTTTTAAACATGTTTTTTTATGTGTTTTTTTTTAATCTGTACTTTTGTCAGAGTTTAATCAACATGTACATATTCCAGCCTTATAATTGGTATGCTTTCTCAAATATTATAATATACTGTAGTTGGATTATGCAAAGTATCTGATCAAGATCCAAAAACAAATATTTCAATCAGGAAGGATATTAACATTTTACAATAAAAAAAATATTTATCAAATAAAAATTCCTGTTTGGAAGGTGTTAATATAGTTGTTCTTCATCCATTAGTTCTGCATCTTATATATAAAATAGCATGACAGCACATTGAGACCTTTTGAATAAGCTCTGATGATGATATTTAAGCATTGAATTCTTATTTTTGGATGTTGTCAGTCCTATAACAGCACCTGGCCATGCCAACAAATTGAATACCGCACATTAGCGCAGTATGATAATTTGTCGGCACTGACAGGTGCTGTTATAGGACCGACAACATCAAAAAATAAGAATTCGAAACTTATATTTACATCCTTTAATTTAATCTCTTCTTAAATTGTTAATTTCATTAATCTTTATTATGAATTTAGTGTCCTTCAGAACTGGTGTGCTTAATAGATGTAAGAGTCGTTGTAAATGAATATTTTGAGGGGAAACATGACAAATTTATTTTAAACGTACAATTGTATGAGCTTGTATATACCTTCTACCCTGAAAAAATTCTTATAAAGATAAAATTCAACTCATTTTTTCAATGTTTTTTTTCTTGCTTTGAATTTACCTGTACATGTACATGTCATGTTGACATTCAGAACTCTCTGGATTATTCATAGTAAATGTGTAGAGTTATTTACCCCTGTCCATTTTGCTACATTGACAACACACTGAACGATTCTATCATTAAATCAGGTCCGTAGGACAATATCATTTTAACAATGGAATGTTCTTCTATCTAAAGCTTAAGACATGCACATAGTTTGTGTACATAGCTTAATTCACCTCACTTCTCACAATGTAATTTCACTTCAAGGTAGAATGTACCCCTTGTAAACTTACAGACATGTATGACTGCATGACTGAATTTGACAGAAGGAATTAAAAAATGTCTGAAATTATTTTTAAAACTTAAAGCATCATTAAAATCTGTCAAAACATTCCTAAACTTTATTTTGAGTAATCTCTACCAGTCACTTCACCAGCAAAATAACAAATAAGTGTAAATATAATTGCTACAATGACTTATACTGTCACACTTATCAATAAAATACTTTTTCCTCTGAAGGAAGCCAACAAAGGAAATACAAATTTTTGACTTTCATGATTCATACACACTGAAATGAAGGACATGTTATATTTACAACAGGGTTGTTCCTAAGAATTGACATTGACATTAAACAAGTAGAAGGGGGTCTGGGGTTCCTCCCCTAACAGGGAGTCGAGGGGGAATAACAGAACAGCCGGGAGCTTACTTCATTATAGGTGGGGAAAATTCCCCCACCCCCCGGATCTTATGGATAATTCTAATACACACATATGATCTCCTATAGTTTGTGATTGGATATGACTTTTATCTACTGAACAATCAATAATTTGTTTATTTTCTATCCTTGAGTTTAAGGTAAGGGGATAGAAACACTAGCTAGCTAAAGATAATATATCCATTCACAAACCATGGAAGATTCTTTTTGTCACGTTTTTAACAAATTTTTATGGTGTTCTTCCCCTTTCATTTCCCATTATCAGTTTTACTCTGCATAACCATTGATAACAGTATCAAGAATATTACACTTTTATAACTATGTATTGTATTGTTTAAATGACATCCAAAGCTGTCGGAATAAGTGTGTGATATGAAAATATATCCAATAAGGGATAGCCATTGGATAAAGGGCTGGGGTGAGGGGATAAATGTGATGAATCAGTCTCTCTTTGGACTTTCATGTAATTTTTTCCAGGTATATAAATTATTTTAATGGGTCTATAGTCTTTATGAGTAGGTGCACTAAGATATTCTGATTCTGAAAACGAGCAATTACAGTGTAAAGTAACAATTGGTGATACATGTACATGTATGTCACATAAGTTTTAAAACATGTTTTCTTAATTTGTAGAGATTTATTTGAACTTCTGAAAATGAATAGAAATATGCAAAAACTTTTTTTAAAAAATGCCTGATACCAGTACATGTGTATTTGTCTTTTGCTGTATTTGTCAATTTGTCACAGTGGGTAATAACTGATGATGTAACTAATGTTTATCAGATCTTGAGCAAGTGAAAATGAAGTGTAGGGAGAAATTAGCCATAGAAACATGAAATAGTGAGGTAGAATTGGGATTTAGAAACAAATGCTATTTAAATATGAAAACAAACCCCTTAGATTTAATTTTTAATACAGTGGACTTTTATGAATAAATTTAAATTATAGTATATTCTCTATTTTCTGACAATCAAAAATGTATCAAATTTTATTTTATTTTTCAGGTTAAAATGGAAATGAGTTTTGATGAACTACAATGAGTGGCCAAACTGACAATTTTATAGGGGACCAGCCTGTTACGAGTCCCAGTGTCTCAGATGAAATCCTTTATGAACTTGGATATTCCATCAGTCCATCACAAGAGGAAAATGAGGGGGCTGATGAAGTGGCACCAAAGACTGTTGGGCAATCAGAATTGAATACAGATTTGACCAGCAATAGCCATAGTTTCAATTTAGTTCCAGAATTGCCCAAAGAGCTCGAGAATTCTCTTCAAAAAGTGGGGAGTGTTTTGACTGAAGAAGAAAAGAGATTTGAAGAAACTGACTTCCAAATTGGTATAGATTCTTCAGTTGTAACATATCCTGGTCATAAACTCAAGGACAAAAAATACCTGCAGAAAATTAAAAAGAGGAAAAGAAGAAAGAAGCGCACAACTTGTTCACCAACCAAGCTTGAGGCCATCTGCAGGGAGATGTCTGGACTAGTTGTGTCTGAAGATGATACATCAACCACTGAAACTTCCCCAGAGTCACTGAATTCAGAGGAAGGGGGGTTACAACAAGATATAACAAACAACAGAAATACGGAAGATCAAAATGATGAAAGTGAATTGATGCAGCAAAGCAGCTCAGAGGGGATGCAGGAAGGCCATGACAGCAACACTAATTTGGAGAATCATTGTAATGATTATAGTGAGCATAATGAAGATGGAGAACTCACTGCTGTTTCATCAAAGGAAAAACAGTTTGTAGATGTCAGAGAGCTTAGTCCAAATGAAGAAACAAGAGAAATTCAACCTAGTCCAACAGGTATCCCCCAGAAGTGTTCAAAATCAGACAAGGAAGATGACGTTACAAATTTTGCTGACATAACTGAAATGACAAGTACAGATGTCAATGGCTTCATTTTCAAGTCCCTTAGTAATGAGGACACCGAATTTGAAAGCACAGGAAAAGAAAGTAATGACAGCTCTGTTAAAGAACCGGTCAATTCTCAGCTCTCTTCTGATTTATCTGGAAATACCAATGTTTGCCAGGAGTTTTCTTATGAAGATTTATTTGGAAATATTAAGAAGTGTTCCATAAAAGTGAGAAGGCTAAGTGAGGAATCCATTGCTTTATACACAGGAGGGTCTCCGAAGAAACAAACATCTGTATGCGGAACATCTGAAGTGTCTTATGCCTCGTGCAGTAAACAACCCTTGTTTCTTGAACCACCTGTTCAGAGTGAACCCTTGTTTCATGAACCATCTGCTCAAAGTGCACAAAGTGAAAATGGTAAAGAGACAGTAGTGGGAAATGAAACAGAAGTCACAGAAACTTCATCGGGTAATCCAAAAGAAAATATCATTAACTTAAAGCCATTATTAGTGAGAGTGCGTCGTTTGAGTGGTGAGTCCATCGCAAGCTACACAGGTAGTGCGATGTCTCCACAGAAGGGGAAAAATAAAGACAATGAATTCAAAGTCCCAGAAAGTCCTTCCAAATTGAAATCCAATGAAAGAAGAAGATCAGAGAGGTTTACAAAAACTGAAAATCTATCACCAGAACGTAAAGCAAAAAAGCAGATGCCAAGTCCAAGTAAAAGTGTTAATTTGAAGGCCAAGGTAAAAGCAAGCAATTCAGCTACCAATCAATCTCAGAAACCAGAAAGTTCAAGGTCATTTAGAGGTGAAAAACTGGAGGAACAGAGGGATAACATAACTAGAAGTAAGAGGGGTAGAAGAAGTAGGCCTGGGTTGTTTGAAAGTATCAGTGAAATCAACTTCAAACATCATCTAAAATCACATACTGTAATGAAGAAGTTGGAAGAGAGGAGGAATGAAAATTTAGGACATTCTAAAAATTCACGTCTGTTAGAAAACTTAAGTGACATTTCTTGCAAAAACTTCCTTGAACAGATTAAGAAGTGTTCAGTGAGTCTTGAAAAAATTGTTGTAGATTCATCCTTGACAAAGATAAGAGAAAAGCCAAGGTCAGCTGATGACAAAAAAAGTTCAGACTTTGACAACTTTAAAGTACCCATGGAGCCCAAATTATACCTAGAACAAAAAAGATCTGGTAGGAGGACTAACACATCCACAATTAGTTTGTCTCCAGGATCAAGTTCAGAAAAGGGTTCAAGTCCCAGAGCTGTTCATAAACCAAATAGAAAGCCTATATCTTTGCAACGAGAAGCAGCCAGTGAAATAAACTATGGAACTAGGACATCTAGGTCACAGTCATGGCAAGAACAGTTCATTAAATCATTAGCAAACAAATCACCTTGTAAATCACCAAATGAATTCGAAATAGAAAACTTCAACAATGATGGATCACTGAAGAGAACCTCTCCTCGAGTGAGAAAATTGAGTGGAGTTTCAGCTGTAAATACCGAGATGAAAGACACTCAGAATAAAACCAAAAAGTCCAAAAAAAGTGAAAGAAGTCAACAAGAAAGTATGAAAGCAAGTCAGTCATCCCCCATAAAACTATGTAGTGTGAATATTCCAAGATTAAGTAGTAGTGAGATTGCAAGATACATGAACAAGAATGTTGGCATTTTTGATGACATAGTCAAAGAGCTGAAAAAAAGAACTGAAAAATCAATTACAGAGGAAGTAGTGAAGGAAAATGCTGCAAAGAACAGTTCTTCAGAGTTTCTAGTTCCAACTTTACCTGTCCGAAAAAGGAGGGGAAGTGGAGATACCATCTCCAGTTTGTCTAAATGGAGCACTAGGAGGCAGCCATTGAAGACCCCCAAACCAAACACAAGAAAAGCACCAAAAAAGAAATGGATAGATATGGAAAGTGTTGATAGTGAGTCGTCGGTGAGACCGTGTAGTGTAAAACTTATGAGACTTGATCCAGATTCTGTATCAAACTGTCCCCATGATTTGAATCAAACTGGTGACAGTATGCCAAATCAAATTGTTAATCCAGCTCTCAATGTGTCAAATGTTGACCAAGTGGTAGATGATGAACTGTACTGTTTGAGAAGATTTTTACAGGTACCAATAGTGCCTGAACCTGAACTTGATGTAACAGCAGTGTCTGAAAATATATCTGCTGGAAAACAGGAAAATCCGAAATTGAAGTCATGTTCAGTTGTGCTAAAAAGGATAACCAAGAAACAGAACTTAAAATCTGTGAATATCAAGAAAGTGATTGCCAAGCAACTTGCAGACAATGTAGCATTTTCTTCTGGAAGTGAATCAGATCATGATGAAGAAGAATCATGCATGGATATTGACAAACTTTTGTTCTCTCTAAAGGAGACCACTGCTGTAAACACTCATTTAGATGGACCAGCACAGGGAGACTTCCTATCCAATCAACCAGAAGTAGAAGCCATTGATAGGTCAACTAGCACACTAGAGAGCACTAATAATAGGAAAGAGGATGGTAACATTTCTGGGACAAACAACGTAGCAGATGAGGAAATAACTGATAACCTGTCATTACCTGGTAATGGAAATGAAGATGGAAAAAAAGATAATGGAATTGTTGACTGGAGTAGACTGAGAGCAGAGGGCAGTAGTGAAGACATAGTATCTACAAATGTCATTTCTGCTGAAGTCATCATGGCTGAAGACAAACCTGCTGAAAATATAGTCCAACCTTTAGACCAAGAAAATGTACCCCTGACTTTAGATGCAATATTTGAAGAAACTAAAAGGAAGTGTACAGAGAAATTGGTCAACAAGGATTTTGAAGTCAGTGTTGAAGTGCATAAAAACCTGACAGAAACTGTCAAACTGTCAGAAAAAAGAAAACCTGAGTCGGACATCTGGAGTGATAGTCTTCCAGATTTAGACTTGGATGATGTGAATCTGGAGAAAGCAAAAGCAATCCAGATGAAAAGTTTGTCAACTGCCAGTGTGTGTTCAACCAGTAACTCTTCTTTCAAGGAGGATGGTGGAAAGGAGAAGGATACAAGTGCAGATCTACACAAAGACTATTTTAATTTAGCAGATATGACAAAGAAATGTAGTGTAAGGTTAGAGAAAATCAGTGTGAAGCTCAAAGCATAGACAATAACTGCCATTTTGTTGTTAAAAAAATTATCATAGAAACAAGTTTTGTTATGTCATTTTTGATTGGTTGATTTTGTATTTTTGTTGACTGATTGGTATTTCCCAATCAAATGCATGATTGGGAATCTGTACATATGTTTACTTAGATGTACCAAGCATGAATTACCGCTCTTTCTTTTCACTTAGCACATCTGTGAAAAATCATATTTCAGTCATGATCATGAATATGCCATCTGTAGAGATGTTTTTGTGGTAAAATATGAATACCAAATATGTTAACATACAGTATTAGGTGTTTGTTTAAAATTTTGTATTTCCATTTTAAGATATTTTGTTAACACTTTAAAAATTTTCTTTTCTTTTTTTTCAATTTTTAAGGAAATTTTTATCTTAAAGAAAGGTTCAAAGATGAGGTTATCTAGTGAATACTCCATGTTATGTTTAAAGAAAATTATAATTTTCATGGAAATTTCCTAAATATGGAAAGGTTAATTTTGTATAAACTTTTGGAATGCAGAGTGCTTTACCATGATATTTATGAGATTGAATTGCCAGGACTTTTCAAATATAAAAAAAAAATTAAAAGTATAAAACTTCATTTTAGATTTTCTTCCAAATAACCTAAAACTTTTTGTTGTTCATATACATGAAAGAAATATGGTATACATTATATTTGTTTTCTATCATTTACCACTCTAAGATCCCCTGCTTTGGGCCAGATTCTTAATGTGATAATTAGTCTTCTCTAATTAATAAAAAAAAAATGAGTAAAGAATTGAAAGTTTATATTATTGATAAATGTTTGAATTTGCCATATCGTGATTGTTTACTGGTGAAAGGCAATGAATTTAAAATTATTTATGTGGTTGTTGGTCTAAACTTGATTTTCATTTGTTTTGATACCAGTTAACTGACTTTTAGTTTCATTTAGACGTGGAAAATTTCTTTCAAATGCTTTATTCACAGAAAAAAAAAATTTCCATTTTCCTAGCAAAAATTGCCATACTATTCATTCTTGTCGAAAGTTGGTTTTAGATAGATGAAGCTGCTAGTATATTTTTTCAAAGCTGCCAGTATATTTTTTCGAAGCTGTTGTTGCAGAATTGATGTGCAGCAGTATGTAGTGAAAGGTTGAAAATATTTTATGTGCATGAGGTTCATTATTTGAAATGAATGGATGATAAATTGTGCAAAAAGTCTTCATAGTATTGTTTGAATTTGCTTCTTATGCATTTTTGTGTGTACTTAATATAGAGCCATGTGATTTAATCATTTTTTAAATCAGTTTTTGATATTACCATAAAAATTCATAAATTTTGCATATGATTTGCAATAAATGCTAACTCTGAGTTGAAGCCCTCTTAAGAAAAGTTACATAAAAATCAAAATAGTTTGTTAATTAGTTTAAATGTAGCTTAGTCATTTCTGTTAACATGTTATCATCTGTTTTGTTTGTCTGCTTTTTTAGTTATTTTTGGTGCTTATGTTTTCAATATCATTGTGCCATTTTCATAGAGATTTTTTTTGTTATATATTTCAAATGTTATTTTAGTAGTTTTTTATAGCAAGAAATTGTTGAAATAAAAGCATTTAGCTTTATTTGAGGGTGATTCATGTTTTTTGTTCATTGTTTAAAGAATGCTAACCTCTGGTGTGTCCATGGGTCCATGTTTTTGCCCTGTTTACAGTTTGTTTTGTTTTTCCTGGATTTATATGAGATGATCACTAGTTGGTATCTTCACCTTTCATATTACTAGAAATGAGAATGGAAGAATGTGCTTAAGAAACACAAAATGAACACAAAACATTTAAGAAATTATTTTCATTTTTATAAGATCCAGTTTGTAATTGTTTAATCTTGGTCTCAAGATTTGGATTACCTCTCTTTCCAAAGAATCAGGTACAAATGTCAGCCTTCCACATTGATGTACGTGTATGATGTGCATTTTAGTTGCATTTTTGTTGTGAGAAATTGTTTTCGATTCATATTTTAATTTTTTATACCTTGAAGTTAGAAAGGAAATGGGATGTTGCTTAAGTCCAACAGTTTTGTTTGAATTACATCGATCTCCATCGTGAACTTTGACCTTGACAAAATTTTTTTACATGCTGTCAAACCTTCTTTAGTAATCTACTAGGTCTATTTTAAGTGACTTTCTGTCACAGGTAACTCAAAAAGATACCCCCCAGGTTATTTTGTTTTTTATTTACCTTTGTTTACTAAGCAAACCTTTGTATTATAAGACTTAGCAAAAATGGCTTGTTTCTTTCCATTCTTCTTAAACTGTATCAAACAACTTTTTGTGTACCCTTTTCTTAATTTCTTTATAAATAAGCCTTTCTCACACACATATCTGGAATATAAATGGTTTTTACTTCAAATCCTCTTCTGTTAAATTTAAGAATTTCAGTCAAGTATATATGTATAAATCTTTTTTTTACTGTATGCAAGTTAAATCTTTTTAAAGTTTGACTGTTTAAGAAAAAGAAAACATATATGTCATTGTAAAGGTCAAAGAGGAAGATGAACAGTCAGATAGGACTATTCAAGCTAACAATTTATCCAAGTTTCAAGATGCAATGTTTTTAGAAATATTAATTAGAGCTCAGAAAGGATTGTTGGTTTTGTTAGGAAATTCAGATTTTTACATTGTTCACTATTTTTACTCAGTATCTGTAATTGAAAGAGTAGAAAACTAAAATTGTTGTTATTAATAAGATAAATTCTTCTAGGTGTATTGGGTATTTATGCAAGTGTACAAATTATGTTGGTTATGCTTGGTTAACAGTTTTTCATATTTTTTTCACAAAAATGGTTCTTATAAGAAATATTCACTATCATAAATAGGACACTTGTCATATTTTGATTTCATCTCTTTGTTGTGAAAAAGCAGTCATTGTAGAATTTTTTGTGCTTTGTTGTGTGACAACATCTTTGATAAATTGTATTTAAATTTTCATTTTAAGAAATTTGTTTTTACTCATTAGAAATGTGTATTTGTTATTGCTAATTTTGATGAAAGTGTTGTAATTTGCTCATTCTATTAAGTAAAGTCTTTGTTATTAAGCAAGTAATGATTCTTCTTAAAGACTTTGGAGTATATATAAATAGAGATCTTAAGGTTATTTTTGTAAATACAAGTGTTCTTTTCAGGGGGAAAGTATACTGTATTTTGATTTTTAAGTTCTACTGGTAAAGACCAGATGAGCTTATGTGATGTTAAAGTGTCCATTGTCTGCCCCTCTGTGTGTAAACAATTTTTCCATTGCTACAGTAACTCCTCTTACAGTTTAACAAGTAAAACTTGGCATTCTATTAGATAAACCCAAAGAAATGAGAAATTCTTTACCAGTTTAGAGCTCACCTGAACTGAAAGTTCAAGTGAGGCCATTCCAAGTTTTTTCTCTGTTTAGTGTCCACCCTTCTTTCAAAAACTTACCTACTATTTGCAAAAAACACACAAGACAAAAAAATAAAACACAGACTTGATAGTCATAAAAGTGACGTCAGTTGAAGGATTTTACTTCATTAATCTATTTTTCTTGTAGAAAAATCTATTCTTCACCAAAATCAATGTATTAAATGCTTAAAATATAACTAATATGACAAATTGTAGACAAATATTTAGCGAAATTGAGAGAATTCAAAGATTTTGACCAGAATAATCAATTTCAGGACTGCTGATTTTGTTTGTTTTTTTCTAATATGAGGTGTCAAAAACCAAGGCACACACGGACGCTAAACATAGAAAAAAACTTGGAATGGCCTGAGCTTATATGATCACCTTTTGTCCATCATCTGGCTGTATGTTAACTTTTTTGCATTTTTGACTTCTTCTTTAGAATTACCAGACCAATTTCAACCAAACTTGCCACAAAGCATCCTTGGGTGAAGGGGATTCAGATTTATTCAATTGATGGTCACATTTTTTTTTCAGGTGGAGATAATCAAGAAAAAACTAAGATAGGGTAGAGTCATTTAAAAATATTTACTAGAACCACTGGGCCAAAAAGATGAAAGTAATGTATGTGAAAGCTACCTGACATAGTGTAGACTCAAGTATGTTCAAATCATGGGAAGTATGGGGCCACAACTGAGGATCAAAGTTTAAATCGGATTATACAATGTAAAGGGAAAAATCTGTGAAAATCTTCCTAAAAATAGCAAGGCTATGGTTAGTCATATTAATATGCATCCTCATATAGTGCACATTCAAGTTTGTTCAAGTAATGGTCCCTGGGGATGATGTGGGGTGACAATAGGAGTTCAGTGTTTTACATAGGCATATATAGGAAAAAATCTTTTTCAATAACAAAAACTTCTTAGGAATAGCATGGCCATGATTTATCATATTGACATGCAAGCATCATCAGATAGTTCAGATTTAAGTTTATATAAATCTTGGCTCCTGGGGAAAGGATTGGGGAACAGTAGGAGATCAAAGCTTTACATGTTAATATGTTGGGGAAAAACTTTTAAAAAAATCTTTTTCTCAAGAACACCAAGGCCATTATTTATCATTTTGATAGAAAAGCATCCTCATGTAGTGCAGATTCATTTTTCATATCACTATTCCTTGGGGTAGGGTTGGGTGACCATAGATGATCAAAATTTTACATGGAATTCTTTATTAATCTTCCCAAGAACAATGTGGATTCAAGTTTGGTTAAGTCAAGACTCCTTGGGGTTTGGGTGGCTCAACAAAATGGGATCAACATTTTTCATTCGTATTTAAAGGGAAACGTATCACAAAGAATAGGACCAAGGTGGATCATGTGAGCATTGTGGCCCATGGGCCTGTTTTATTTTTGTTGTTTTCTTTTTGTTTGCAAATAATATGATGGTAACTGAAAATAGAAGTTTCTGTGGAATTTCTCAAAAATCTGTCCCTCCTATGCATTTGGGGTTGGGGATTGGCATAGAAGGCTTCATCAAGACACATGCATAATTCTGAACATCGGTTTTTCAATGAACATTGTCTCCATAGTTTTTGAAAATAAAATAATTTGTGAAATTCTTTCAAAATGCTTATCCTTCTGAAGTTTAGGTTTGATTTCAATAAAACCTGGAACAAGTTGGAAATCATTAGGATACATAATACTGTTTAAAAAAACAATAAAAAGTGTTTCAAGTCCAGTTGCAACTTTTCCACATTTTTAGCACAAACCAGCAGAGCTACAGTCTCATCAGAAACTTTGGTTTCTTTTTTGGAGGGATGGAAAGGAGGTGGGGGGGGGGTAAGATTTGTCTTTGGAAGGGGGGTAAACTTAATCTGAAGTGTAACAGCTGTTGTGCTTGTGTTTGTT